TATATGACATTTTTGTTATGTAATTTTCCTTTGAGTATATAGAAATGAACTCAAAAATCCTGAAATATATTAAATATAATAAGTATGATAAATTCTCCAGTGCTTTCCACAAAAATGACCATTGTAATAATCACCTGGTATGTACATATTTATAATAAACTAATAAAGTCTTACTTTTTAGAATTTTATTATTATAAAATAATATTTATTTGATGAATTATAAAAAGTTTTTTACATATAATGAAAATTATAAACCAGGTTAGGTGAGGGTAGAAAATTGAGGTAGAGCCAAGGATTTAGCTCCGTAGTGCTGCACCTGCCTTGCAAGCACAAGCACAAGATCCTGAGTTTGATTCCCGGTACTCCAAAAAAAAAGGATAATTAAGAAGCATCACATCAAGAAATGAGCTTGGTAAATAGGAAGGTGAAGGTACTCCTAAGAATAGGTGCACCTAAGAAAAAATACTTATTTATTATACCTACAAGCAAAAAAGACCAATGTAGTAAAGCCAAAAAAGGAATAAATCTATTATATGAAATAATTTCATAGTAATACTCTGCAACACAAAGCAAATAACAAAATCAAGGAGATGTTTCAAATAAACAAGCTCAATAGTTATTCTTGAGCTTTTGCAAAATAGTTTCTACCTCAATTTAAAAATAATCAGGTAGAACTACTCTATGAGCTTTTATTTTTATACCTCAAACATGTACCAGCTATTGGATAACTGCCAGCTCATGGATATTATAGGATAATTACTAGTTTCTCATTCAAGATAAACTCTGAGGAATTTTATGAACTGAGAGGTTCATTTTACATGAGTCCTGATTGAATACTTCTGAAAAGTGAAGAGATGTTAAATTGAAGTCACAACAACACTGCTTGAGTCGGAAAGTGAATTTAGTTTATATGCCATTCAAAGAAAGATTGATTGAGGTGTGGAAGTATAATTTTACAACACTATATTTTAAAGAAATACCTTAAAATTTTTCTCTTAGAATTAAAAAATATTCCCATCTGTTATTTTATTCATGATTTTAAAAAATTTGTGTAAATTTAGAAGATGAAAAGGAGGATCATAATCATGTAGTAGGTTTTTATTTCTGCTCCTGCCTTAGAAATATCTAGAACAAATCCCTAGTTCCAGTACATCAAGGTATTATTTCTGGTCATAGACTATTACATTTTTAATGGTCTTTCTTAGTTTTAAATTTAGGTGAATCTTTAAGGGATTATTTCAATGTCATCAAAATGAAAACAAAAACATCCTTTTCTTTTAATGTTTTGATACTTAGCAAACATTTTAGAAAGAGTAACAAATAACTGAGTTGATAATATAATAAAACATGGCAGTAATTTCTCTTCTTCATTGTTGAAAACTTATGAAGAAAAATGAGACATGAAAATTAGACAAAAACATGGATAGTTCGCCTCTGGTTGCAACATTCTTAAAAGGTAGTTGTAGCATCATTTATTATTGCAATTTATAGAATAGAAACCTAAGGTTCAGAGAGAGAATTAGCTTTAAGTACAGAACATGAGATTCACAGCAGGTTAGTCTGAGGCCACAGACAGCTTCTGAAACTAAAGAAAATGAAGAATATTTACTCACTGATCAAAAGTTTGAAGATTTTTCTTTAAATTTCATTTTCAGTATTTACCTAGTTTTTAATGTGATAGAAACACATAATATAAAATTTACTCTCAAGCATTGTTTACAGTTCAGTGATATTAACCCCTTATTGTTGTGCAACTATAAACAGGACCCATCTCCTGAGCTCTTTTCTTACTGTACATTGAAGCTGTATTCAATGAACAATCACCCTTCAGTCCTACCTTCCTCAGCTCCCAGCAGCCAACATTCTTCTTGTGGTCTCTATGAGTTTTTCTACTGTAAACCCTCATGTCAATGGGATCATACATTAAATGTCTTTTTGTGACTTGTTTATTTTACTTAGGATAATGTTCTCATGGTTCATCCATGATGTAGCATATTTAAGAAATTTTTATTTCAAAGATTGATAATCCATTGTATGTGTGTGTAGCCTTTTAGTTACTAATCCATCATTGAACATTTGAGTTTCTTCCATGTTGTAGCTGCTGTGAATAAATCTTCTATGAATTTTGATGTACAAATATGTCTTCAAGGCCCCACAATCATTTTGGGGGTTTATATCCAGAAGTTGGAATAGCTGAATCGTATGGGTTTTTTGGGGGGTTTTTTGGTACTAGAGATCGAATTCGGGACCTTGTGCTTGCGAGGCAGGCGTCGGAAACACTGAGCTAAATCCCCAGCTGCTGAATCATATGGTAAGACTATGTTTAATTTTCTAACGGAGCCACTATACTGTTTTCCACATTTCACATTTTCAACAATAGTGTACAAATTTTCCAGTTTTTTCATATTCTCATTGGTACTTATTTTCTATCTTTTTATTTTATAGTTGTCATTTCAGTAGATCAAAAATTTGTTGCCAAATTATAATTTTTATTTCTATTTACTCCATGATTAATGACATTCAGCATCTTTTTGTGTGCTTATTGGCCATTTGTATAACTTCTATGGAAAAATCTTTTTTGGTGTTGTCATTGAGATTTAGGTGTTCTCTATATATACAGTATATTAATCCACTACCACATACATGGTTTAAAAACATTTTCTCCCAATCTGTGAGGTACAGTTAACTCAGCTGATAGTGTCTTTTGAAGAACATAAAAGTTAATAATTTGCTTATTTTTTCTGTTGTTGTATGTGTGGTGTCATATCCAAGAGATCAGTGCTAAATCTATGCCATGAAACATTTCTCCATATTTTTTTCTAAAGCTTTTACATTTCTAAAACCTACATTTAAGCATGGATGCATTTTTGTACATAGTATTAGGTAAGGGTCCATCTTCATTTCCTTGCATATAAATATCCAGTTTTCAAGGCCATTCTTTTTGAAAATATTCTTTTGCAAATTGAATCATCTAAGCAGCATTATTGAAAATCTCCTGATGATGCATGTAGGGTTTAATTTCTTGACTCTCCATTCTATTCAACATCTAAAGATATGTCTCAGGTTAGTGTTATATCCTTTCATTATAGTAGCTTTGTGGTAAGTTTTGGAATCAGTAAATATGAGTTCTCTAATTTTGTTCATCTTTCTCATGATTGTTTTGGTTATTCAAGATCCTTTAAAATTTCACAAGATGAAATTTTGAGTTGGCTTTTTCTATTTCTGAAACAAATTGTCATTGAGATATATATGTAGATCTAATATAGACAAAATTAAATTAGTAGATTACTTTGGATAACAGACATTTTAACAATGTTGTGTTCAACTCCTCGACATGATATAAATTTCAGTTTATTCATGTATTCTTTAGTTTTTGTTTTTTAGAGAAAGTTGGTATTTTTATTGTTCAAATTAATTACAAATAATTTTATCGTCTTAATTCTCTTGAAAATAAAATGATTTTCTTAATTTCTGTTTCAGGTGGTTCATTGTTGGTATACAAATATGGATTGATATTTGTTGAGTTTTATATGCTGCTTCTTTGCTCAATTTGTTCACTAGTTTACCATTGATTTAAATTTTTTTTTAATTTTTTGGTCTTCTGCATATCAGATTATATCAAGTCTGAACAGAGATAATTTAAATTTTTCCTTCCAATCTGGATGCCATTTATATATTGTTTTAATCTAATTCCCTTGACTAGGATTTTTAGCAGTATGTTGAATAAAAATAGTGTAAATGGGAACCCACATCTTTTTCTTCATCTCAGAGATAAATCTTTCAAACTTTCACTATTAAGTACTATTCTAATTGTGTTTTGATATATTTCCTATTTTCTTCAGTTACTGTATGTAGAATTATTTTTTGATATATCATGTAAAGAGTATTTTTCTTAATCATGAAAGAATATTAAATTTCATCAAAAGACAAAAGACTTTTTGCATCAACTGAGTTGATCACGTGATCTTGTTTTATTAATTCTTGTTATGTAGTATATTAATCAGTTTTCAAATAGTAACCATCTTTGCATCCTAGGAATAAAACTCATTTGATAACGGTGTATAATTATGTTTAACGTGCTGCTGAATTTTGTTTGCTGTTATTGATATTGAGAGCACATGGTTGAAGATTTTTGCATTAGTGTTATAAGGGATATCAGACTTTTTTTGTTTTTGTTTTTTTTCTTGTAGCCTCATTATCTGGCATGGATATTAGGGAAATGTAAGCATTGTCTAATGAGTTAGGTAGTGTTCATTCTTTTTAATTTCAGGGGGAGCATTTGAAAAGCATTGGAGCTGCTTCTTTATGTTTAAAATAATCTGTAAAGCCATTGCATTCAGAGCATTTCTTTATCAGAATATATTGTATCATTGATTTGATATTCTTATAGATTTATCCATATTTTAATTTCTTATATTCTTCATATGTTTTGTATTTTTGGAATTTGCATATTTCATCTAAATTATTTAATTCTTTTTGAATAAAATTTCCCATAGCACTATCATCATCTTTTTGAGTCTGTAGAATTAATTGTAATGTCTATACTTTCAATTTCTGACAGTATTGAGTGTTCTCATTTTATTTGAGTACAATGTAGTCTAGGTAAAGGTTTATCAGTTATGTTTAATTTTTAAAATTATGTTTAATTATTTCCTTATTCCTATTGGGTAGAAAGTTTGTGTCTTTTAGATTTAGTTTGTTTGTTATGTTTTCCAGGGCCTATGTTTTCTTGCTTCTTGACTATTTTATGCATTATTGACACTGTTATTAAAGATTGAAGACATTTTTGTAGAACTTTCTATTTCTCCAATTCCATAAAATTTGCATCATATATATTTTGATGGTCTGTTATTAGATGCATAAAAGTTTGTGGTAACTCTCCTTCCCATATTGAACATTTTATTGATATATAAAGTTATTTTTTGTCTTGTAGCTTTTTATTGAAAATCTATTTTTTCTGATATTAGTATAGCTCTCAATATTTACATGCAATATATGTTTCCACTCTTTCACTTTCAATGTATTTGTTTTAAGGAGAGTCTCATCAATCATATGTATTTGGATGCATTTTAAAAATAATCTTCATTTTTCAGGTTTCTCTGAGAGTATTTCAGTGATTTCAAGGTAATTATAGTTAGGGGAATTTTGTCATTTTTCTATTTGCTTCCTATATGCCTTATACATCCTGCTTAATATTCTTTTCTGTACAGTTGAATTTTTATACTCCTTCCTCATTTTCTTTTGCATATATTGTTTAGTTATTTTCCTTTTTAGTACCATAAAAATTACATTTAACATATTAAAGTCATATGAATTCATACCAGTTTAAAATGTAGAATAGCTTATATTTCTTTGTTTTTGAAGGAATGAATTGCTAGATACAGGATTAATGACTGACAGATTTTATTTTTTCTTTCAGAACTTCGAATGTAACAGCACACTGCTCCTGGACTCTAAAATAGCTAATGAGAAAGCTGATAATCTTGAGGATACCTTGAACACGTCCAGATACTTCTTTCTCGTGCTTTTAGAATTTTCTCTTGTCTTTGGCTTTTGATAACTGACTATGATATGTCTCAGTGTAGGAATATTTGAGTGCAACCTAATGAAACTCTCAGATGTTTATGCCTTTCATCAAATTTGGGAAGTGTTCATTTATTCTTTCTTCAAATATTCATCTGTATCATTGTGTCACTCTTCTCCTCCTCAGACTGCCACGATGCTTATGTAGTTTCTATTTAGTGATTTCCCAGAGGTCTGATAGACTCTTTTCATGTTTCTTCACTTTTCTTTTCTCTCTGCTCTTCAACAGTATCCATTAACCTGATTTCAGTTCTACTAATAATATTTTTCTGTCTGCTCATATCTGCTTGAATTTTATAATTGAATTTTATAATTCAATTCAATTATTACACTTTCTGGCTCCAAAATTTCATTTTCCACCTCATTTTATTTTCAAATAATATATTATATCATTTCATGGTGCATGTGATTGGACATCATTAAATGACTCCTATTCTGCGGCTCTTAACCTGGAACTCAGAAACTTTCTCATATATTTGGACAGTCTGCCAATTTTGAACCTGTTTTAATCTCAAATTATTTCCTAGCTCAGTGAGTTCTTATACTGTACTGTATAAGTACTGTAATGCAACTAAACCATGGAGGCTGCATTCCCCACTTTTTGCTACATAGTGACTGCTGGCTCTTTGGACAGTAGGAGTCATCATCTGTAACTGGTGGGGGATGTCCTCTCATTCCCCTGCCTCAGCCCTAATCTCTGAGAAAGAGTATAGATTTTCAGGCTTCAGCACATGGAGACTATGCCCATCATATCCTAACTTTTGCTTATGAAATAGACTTCTTTAATATGTCTTTTTCTGTTTCTCTAGGCTAGGAATGTTAGCAGACTCTTTTCTTTGTAATCACTATTTTTCTTTACGATATTCTCTAACTTCTCATATCTTTTGTCAGCTGGATAACCAACTCACTGTAATAATACACTTCTACTTTAAATATTGTTTTATTTTTCTTGCTTGATACTGAGTGATAGAAGCATTCAATAAATGTCACTAATTGATATAAATCAGACTATCTGTGTACACTCATGTTTATATTCAGAAATATTTATTAAGTACAGTCTTGGGGCTTAGTATTATATTCTACATTGAGCAAAAGTAGACACAGTCTCTATCTTTATGCAACTCAGTCCAGCAATCCAACAGATAAATAAGAGACACAAAGGAGAGTGTTTGTCATTAGACTGAAGAATGTAAGGTGTGGGGTTGATGGTTAGATATATTTGCATAATTGGATAGATGTTTGTGCAACTTCTCAAAAGCAATGTTCCACAAGAACTGGGTTAGGTTAGGTAAGAGATTTTCCTTTTCTGGTTTTAGGGTCAAACTTAGGCTTTGTGTGTGCTGAGTATGTGTTCAGCCATTCAATTTCATCATCAGTTTCCTAATGAAAGAATATTTTAAGACTTACTTTATTTTGTCTTAAAATATTGAATTTTGGGTGCTTTTCAAATATCAAATATCCAAAGAGAAATGAAAAGCTGATAGCTGAGACAATCAAAGCTGGAGATAAAATTTTATATTCACTTGTGGATAACTGAAATCAAAAGCCTTAGGACTGAATGAGATTGCACCAGTAAAGAGTATAGACAGAAATAAAATTCTAGAGATTCATAAACCTGTGAAATTGTTTGGAATTAACAAGTAGTCCAAATGAAGAAAGAAGAAACACAGCTGCCATTCATTTATGAATTGACTCTACTTCAAAATCTAAGAATAAAATAACCTTAAAATTCCATCAAATAAAATAATTGATTTAAAAATATTTACAGCTTTCCTGTATGTGTGTTTGTTTATGAAACAGATAATAATACTCTTTCCTAGATATTGGGTCTTGAGTGATAATATAAAATTTAAAGCTAAATTTCCACACAACCTCAATTATGGATCAAAAAAATATGTAGAACTATAAGGAAAAAATGTAATAGGTATCATGTTTTGAATCTTATCTTTTTTCTTTATTTTAAAGACTATAGATTCAAGTATATAGATTAAATATGCTACCCTAACTTATTAATAAATATTAGAGTACAATATATGTTTACTTATTTAAATGCTGACAGTCTTGTTGCTTGGGTCTAGAGTAATATTTTGTGGTACATCTCTCTATACAAACCATATATCTAAACATACAGTAGTATCTCACTATGAAAAAGAAAAGCATTGCAAGAGCTAGAGAAAGCTTTCCAATTATTCACGAATTTATGAAGCTTTTAATTAAATGTAATATTTTCAATGTGTCAAAATACATAGGATGTACTTTAAATAGTATTCATTTTCTAATTTATGTATTTTTACTAACTACAAATCTGAAGGTACCATGCCTGGGTTTTAGTTGTGAATTTGTCCATTACTGTATATAAAACAAAGAAAAACCATTTAGTTTATATCATTTCAATTTCTAATTCTGTAGATTAGGATAATTACCTACAAGAGAGACTTCATATGAGGATTAAGTTAGTTAATACATGGAAAGTGCTTGGAATACTGGCATTTTAAATTCTCAGTGTTAGCTATTATAATTGTCATTGTCTTTTTTAGTGTTTTAAAATACTGAAGTTAGCATGTATCCATGATTCATTCAGGATAATACAATTCAAAAATTTAATTTAATTCAAGAAACATTAATTAAAGTTGCCATGTGTAAGGCCTACCATAATTGCTATGCATGGTAATGATCAAAATAAGAGAAATACTATGTCAAGTAGTTTATGTTTTAGCAGTATGTTTATGTAAGGAATTAATTTGAGAAAATGAAAAAAATGGAAACAAGTCTTTGTAAATAGGGAGGAATGGAGGGGTTTAAAGGAGGGCAAGGGAATGGGGAAAAAATAAGAACCTAGAGAGATTATGCAAAGGTATAACTTTCCAATTATGAATGTCATTACATTGTAAAATGTTCCAATAATGTTGATTTTAAAAAATTCAAAGATATTTTGAAGGCAGGTCAGGGAAAGTTGCTCCTCACCCTACCAGACACTGGCTTACAAAATAAGCACAAATAATCCTACTTCTTAATCCACTTGAAGTACTCTTCCTAAAAAGTTCCACTTGTGTAGAGTAGAAGTTCCAATTACTAAAATACTGCCCCTAAGCACAAACAGGGTTCCCAAAATATCTTTGGAATTGGCTCATTGACTACACTGAATGTTCTGCTAAGAAACGATAGAAAAGCTGCCAGGGAAGAGCTTGGCTGTAAAGCAAATTACATTTCAAAAAAAGTTTCAGAAATGTTTATTGATTTCCAACTTGTTTAAAAGCTTCTTTCCTAATTGTCTTCATCTAAATATAAAGCTCAATAAAATGTGTGTGAATATTCAGCATAATTAAAGCAGTGATTCTCTTGTCTTTCTGATTGTGTCACTACAGAATTTATATTCTGAATGAATTTGGCTAGTGACAGTATAAATTGAGTTGAATTTATTAGGCTAATGTTTCTGATCAGTTTAATGTTATTCTTCTTTTGGCAAACCATGGACCTGGTAAATGTATTGGTTGATTATCAAAATGGAGAAGAAAAGAATAGAAAGGAGAAATAATAGTCTGTTGAAATGAATTGACCCAGAAATCTGTGATATGCCTTCAACACATTTTAATGTCTTTTTATTCAAAAATATTTACCAAATACTCTGTGCCAAAACTATTTTAGATGAATGATTATATCTATGTTAGTATATGATTTTTCACCACTAATCCCATTATTCTCAAAAGTACACATAAATCAAAAAGCATTAACAATTTAATGCTCAAAATAAATACAGTGTTAATATGGTTAGTATGTTCTAGAAATGTAATAAAAGGCTCATTTTTACATTAATATAAAGATACATGTTGTATCTATAAGCAGAATTACCTTCATAATGAAAAACTGAAATTGCAAAAGAGGAACTTGTCTATATTTCACCAATTAGGTTATAACTATTAAAAATCTTTTCCAAAATTTGATGAAGATTTTTCTAAATTTTATGTACTTTTAGGAAAGAAGTAGAATATTTTACAATGTAAATATACAAATGGATAAATCAGAAAACTATTGAATTTAATCCTCACAAATGTGATAAGATGTAAAAATTGGAAATTTTAAGTAGGCACAATAGCACACTAACATCCAGCTACTTTGCAAAGTGAAGATTAATAAGAAAGTAGCCAGTTACATGGCTTCAGCATCCTAGAACACATTTTTTTTCATAACCATATATTTCGAGAATATATATAAAAAAGCAAGAGATTAAATTAGGTTTGTGTGGGTAGGATACCTTTCAGGAAAGCTTCTTTTCCATTTCATTTCAGTTGCCATTGTCCCTACTCCTGGAAGACATTGAACATGGAGTTTTATAAGCTACTTGGAATTGCTTAATGGGAGAACCATGTAGACTAAAGATACATAGCAACAAAGTTCCCACTCCTGCTGAAAACTTTTGAGAAGACCAAATATAGACTAGAGAATTACTTTACTTTTGGAGCCTGAAGAGTGCTGCTTTGCTAGGAGCAACTGGGCTGAATTCCCAGATTTTGTCACAAACATATATGCATGACTATTTCTTCTGGAAGAGTTGTTAGTCCCATGTAATTCTGTGGGGTGACCCATGGATTTTTCAGTGATGCCTTGAAGCGAAAAGTCCATCCATTAGAAAATCCTCAATATAAACTTTATGAGTGTTGAGAAAAGAGCCAAAAATGAATACCACAAAAAATACATAAATAAAAGTAGGGCAAGATTAAAAGCATTTCAAGATTGAGGGGCTTGCCAAGAGCTTTCTAAAGGTCCTCTGAAAATATCTCATAAGAAAAAGCATCTCTAACATTTACTGGTTCCATAAGGTATAAACTCAGCTTATAAAGTCACCAATTTAAATAAAACCGCTTCTTCTCTAATAGAATAATTAGAAAAGAAATCAACAACATACACTCTATTTCTGTTTAGAGTTCTCAGCAAAATGGAGGTCTACAATATAGAAAGAAAGAATATTTGACTTAAAAAAACTCAGTTTGGGTTCATATTTTAGAATGAGCATTTTTGCTACTAATTTAAGAGTACAGTTTAAAAGATAAAGTTAACCCCCCCCAAAAAATAACAGAAAGAAAAATAAAATATTTACATGGATAATGGTATCTTCAAATCAGATAAATGAACAAATTTCTCAATTTTTCCTAGAAGATCGTTAAGAGTAGATAATGACTAGATTGTTGTTGTGTTAAAATCATCCATGTAATGTTTAGTCAAGTGGTCACAGTAAGAGCTCCAGGGGTAGTTCTATAAAAGTAATCTGGTAAAAGACATTTTCCCATAACCCATACCCACATCACAGCGATCTGGATGTATAATATTATCTTAATTTAGTCAGTGTGGGATAGTTTTCAAAAGAAAAAAATGATTTGCTTAGAGGTAGTCCATCTGTTTAATTCTCAGGATGTCTTTTTAGTAGGTGATGATAAGTGAGAAATGTTTTATCTCCTCCTGGATTGGAATAATAGGGAATCTACCACCAAACTTTGATAGTCACTTTAGGATGTGAGTACAGAAAAATACATGGAGAGGACTCATGACAGAATCATGTAAAGCACACATGAGGAAAACTATATATGTGGATCACTCCTGAGAGGCAATCACAGAAAACTAGAGACGAATTCAACTAAATAACTTGAAGTATGACCTTGTATGAGATTAATTCCTTGTTTGGACGTTTGAGTTGGGATTTCTCTTACTTGAATGAAAAACCACATATATGTATATATTGTATTTATATGTTTACACATTACAAAATATTTAAAAAATTGAGACATTAAGCATTGCCATGATTTTATTCTAAATCATATTCAGACAGCTCCTACTCAGAAGGTCATATAACAGTGTGTTGGCATTCTTGACCCTGAAATCGTATTCCTGAATTTAAATATTTTTTTGTAACAACTAATATTTGTAAATTCATAGACAAGTCACTTACACTAAGCTATTGTTTCCTATTTATAAAAATCAAGTAATTCCATTTCCTCATTGTAATACCATGACCT